ACACGCTGTTGCCTAACTAAACGCTGCGGCTGTTTCCTTACCATTGCACGCCATGCCCAACTCTTTGTTTATTGCACACAAGAACCCAGGAATCTATCTGGAGGCCCATCACCCTGGTAAGACTTTGGGAGGAAAGGGGGCTGTCTGTTCTCTGGAACAGGTAGGACACGTCAGCAGGATGCCATGTTTTTCATGAATTCATGTGAGTCACAGAGACCGAAGGGACGCGTGTCCCTTCCCACCGTATCACAGCTGTAGGTCATGTCACCAGACTAGGACAGATACTTCACCTTGCAGAACCTGGTCTCCTGGTAACAACTCAAGATGTTCACAGAGAAAGAAGGAGTTGCTATGTGGCTATCCCTTGAAACCCTGAGCAAGTTGTACCCTTGTGCCAGTTGCTATACCTCCTTGGACTCAGCTTTCTTGTCTGTAGAATGGAGGTAGATTGTAATCATTCCTACCTCACAGGCTGTTCTGAGGGTTAACAGTAAACCAATACATGTAAATTGCTAACTCCAAGTAATATAGACACCTGTGGTACAGTGGGGGGTGTAGGATCACCCCCTCCACTCACCTGCATCTGGACAATGCCCAGGGCCAAACTCCCTACGCCTTGTCCTAAGGCCTACTACCTGGAAGTAAAGATAAGAGTCCTGGAAATTATGCAATCCCAAACCAGAATGCATGCATGCCAGGCCTGTCAGCATCACCTATAATGACCGTTCTACACTCGGACCTTGCTTATTAAAGGTTCATATGTATGGACCACATCGCATACCTCCGATTATAGCAGAGGGAATTATGGGAAAGGCTGTGCAAAGGCAGGCACAGCAAACATGACTCAGCACCTTGTCAATCACTGACCATCATGTTCTAGAAGATTCAGTAGGAGAGGCCCTAGACCCAGCAAAACATTTCAAATTCTTAACATAGCCACATTTGTGCTGTTTTTGTTTTTACTGCACAAGTCCACCGCTCGCTCCAAGTGTATCTTCAACATTTAAATTTCAAAGAACCTTTGCTTCTTTTTCCTTATCATCATGTGCCACATTCCATGTTTTGTTCATCACATACAAGAATCCAAAAATCTGTCCCAGGAACCCATCACCCATGATAACAAAAGTATATAATTCTCACTCCATCATTTCAGATCTTGTCTCGTTTGTTGTTCCATTAACAATTTACTCTAGAGGGCCAGCCAAATAGCTCAGTGGATTAAAGCATCTGCAAGCAGGCGCAGGGGCCAGGGGTTGGATCCCAGGGCCTGCTGTGCCTGCCCCACCCCTGGAGCACACTGAGAGGACAATTGAGACTGGGCTTGGTGGTGCATGCCTGTAATCCCAGCTCTTGGGAAGCTGTAAACAGACACATCACTACAAGTCCAATCTAGTGGTGAGACCCTGAACACCCTGTAGACCCTTCCCTAAAAAAATACCAAAAATAAAACCCAAAAAACAATAATTTACTCTCAAACTTTGCAGCTTAATGAGACCATTTATTTAACTATGCTCATGGACTGTAAAGGTCAGGAATCCTAACAGGCTGATGGGCCCTCTGTGTCACTGTCCCCCTGAATCCTGGGCCCTGGCTGGAAGGTTTGTCATATGGGAGTAGGTGCCATCTGAGGGGGCTTGTTCTGGGGCTGGAGCTGGGAAACCCTGGACCAGGACTGCCGCAGCGCCTCTGCTAGTGTGGGCTTCCTAACAGCATGGCGGGTAGTTGGCCTTGCGCATGAGGGCTCAGGATGCCTGTGTGCCAGGAGCCCAGGAGCTTAGCCACCCGGTGCTCTTCTGTGCACCCTACTGATTGCAGCCCACCTAGATTTCAAGGCAGGATGCAACAAGTTTGTAGCCGTGGGACCAAAATCTTCCCCTGCCTTAATCCTGTAGTCTCTGGTAGGCCTACCCAAATTCCTAACCTACTCTAATATGGGTTAGAGTTGAAGACAAAATGTCTCTAGGCCAGAAGTCCTGTGAGCAAAACCAAACTGGCTAGACCTATGATGGCTGCTGGAGTGACTGCCACACACAACCTCTAATTTTATTAAAACTCCATCTACATGTTAAATGATAACCTCACCCCAGTCTTATAACACTTCCCAGTCGCTATGAGGATGACTTGGAAAGAACAGTAAAAGGAGCAAAAAAGAGGCAGCGCCTAATTTTCTGGAAGATCTCTGCCCTTTCTTAGAAAAGACATACTTTCTCTCCTCTTCACAAGCTCCTCCTTCCTCTTCATTTCTTTGAACTTATTTCTGCAAACTCCCAACCAATAAGGGATGAAGAAGTTGATTTATAAATTTAACTCCTAGTCCTGCTATTCTTGACCCAGAATAAAAGTCTCCTTGGCTGCTCCATCAGCGTCCAATGTGAGCTTAGAAACTGGTAACGAAACTACTATTCTCAGAACTGTACCAAAAACCCCTGGCTCCAGGGTCTGGGGAGATAGCTCAGCAGTCTAAGTGCCTGCTTGGCAAGCACAAGGACCTGGGTTCAATCCTCAGCACTACATACCATGTCAGCCCCAGAACCCAAAGCCAGGGTGTGGTGGTGCATGCTTGTAATCCCAGAGCTGAGAAGGCTGAGACAGGAGGATCACTATGAGTCCAAGCTGTATAGTGATGCCCTGTATCAAATATATAAGTAAATAAATAAAAGATTTTTTTTAAAAAAGGGGAACTACCCACTCAGGGCCCCCTCCTGTCCCTCTCTTGGACAGAAGCTTTCTTTCTCTCAATAAATATAGTCTGCTCTTAAAAAAAATTTTTTTTAAGGGGCTGGGGAGATGGCTCAGTAGAATAAGTGCTTCCCTGGCAAGCGCAAGGGCCTGAGTTCAATCCCCGGTTCCACAAAAAAAAAAAAAAAAAAAAATTAAAAACAAAAAACCCAGGCTCTTGGGCTGGAGAGATGGCTCAGTGGTCTAAAGCACCTACTTGAAACAAGCTTGGCAAAGCACAGGGACCGCGGTTCAATCCTCCAGCACCACATGCCAGCCAGCCCCGCCCCCTGGTGGGCTGAGCTGGCCACACACACACACAATAAATAAATGTAATAAATAAAAATAAATAAATAATTTAAAAAAAAAAAAAACCCAGGCTCTGAGATCTCATCTATGCTGTCTCTGCCAAGATACCTGTTTGTGTCTGTGGCAGTTTCTGCTGGGTGAGGGCACATGTGTCTACCATCAGGCTAGGTTCGTGTGAATGTGCTCTCAGGATTTTGTGTGTGCTGGCTGAATGAGAAATAGTGGTGGTGTCTCCCGCCTCCCTCCTTCTGGAACTCCAGGCTCACATCCAGCTGCCCACCAGTTTCCACATGGATGCCCAATGTCACGTCACACAGCCTCCAACGTCACGGAACAGCCCACACAGAACTCTCGCTCTCCTTTCCCAGCCCTGAGCCTCTCCTCTTGCAGCGCGCAATCCCACTGCGCCTGCCCTCCAGTCTGCCTACCCTTCTCTGTCCCCACTATCATCTGAACCAAACTCACTTCACCTCCCCCTCCAGGGGGCTCCCAAGGGCTTCTTGCTCCTGCCCTTGCTCCTACAACCCTTGCAGAGCTCCTCAGCAATTTGTCAGTGGAGATAAAACCCACGATCCTGACCCCCTGCCTTAGCCTGTTCCTTCCAGGCGGGCTTCTCCTCCTCTGCTCTGCCTGTCTGCGCCCAGGCTCCCAGCCCTCTGGTTTCATTTCTGGTGTTCTTTGTGTCCCACCAGCTCCTTCTCACTCCAGGGCTCTTGCCCTTGCAGCTCCTTCTGCCTGGACTGCCTGGTCTCAGCTCAGGTGTCCCCTCCACAAGTGTCCCTGTCCACCAGCTAGTGGGAGGGTTCCTTTTTGTTTTGGGGTTTTTTGTTGTTGCTTTGTTTTGTTTTTGTGGTACCAGGGTTTGAACTCAGGACCCTGAGCTTGCCAGGCTGCTGCTGATTCTACTGAGCTATCTCCCCGGCCCATCCTTGTGTTCTTGAGGAAAGGACTCAGCCAAGACACAGAAAAACACTGTGAAAAGAGAGACAATTTATCGCAAAGCACAAAATAGTGGGAGGCAAAAGTACTCCCTTAAGGCAAAGCACGAGGAAACCAAGGCGGCCTCCGCAAAGAGACAGTGGGTCTCCTTTTAGCAGGCACTCCCAGGGCTTAGGGCACTGCCGCATAGTCATTATCTTTGCCCCCTTTCCACAGCGATCATGCCTGTCGACAGTCCATCTTAAAAGTCTAGAGTGTCTGTCTCTTACTATTGTAAAAGGTCTTCTTTGTTCTTCCCAGGTGGTCAGAGTTTTTCTTAAAGTACACTGTTTTACTCAGAGTTAAGTCTTAGTTTCACGTACGTACTGTGGGTAGATCTTGCAACGGGGGTGCCGTGTGTGGCTCCCTGGTTTTAAGAAAAAAAAATAACCCTGAATTGGCCAGGTAGGTAGTGCAGCTACGTGCTCTCTGATCTTAAGATTTCTCTGTGCTGTGGCTGAATGCTTTTGACCTGAGACTTAATAGATGATTATAAATGTATTATACACTGTTTTATTTCTTTAACTATAATTGGCAGAGCAGCTTTTTGATGTCTTTTGTCCTCCAGGCCTGCTAATATTTAACTATCTGCCTAGCCCGCCAGCCCACTGCCCTGGTTTAGTTCTCCACCCAGCCATCTTCAGTTGCAGGCTCCTTCTGTTGTTCTACTTCTGGCACTGGAGTACAAGCTCCTCACAACTTAGGGAGGACCCAGCCAAGCCCTGGGGTGCACCCGCCCAGTTATAGGTGTGCAGATCTTAGTGTGAGACGAATGGGTGCTGAGACTCATAGGGAGGGGATGGCTTGTGTATGCGTGTGTGTGTGTGTGTGTGTGTGTGTGTGTGTGTGTGCTGGGGAGGTCAGGCGAGTGTGTGCGCCAAAGGGAGGGACCAGGCGCGCTCTCACTCCACCGAGAACTTCTGGCGGGACGGAACACAGAGCGTGTCCCGCCTCCCTTGGCCGACGTGGCGGCTGCGCGGCGCGGGAGGAAGGGAGGGGTGCAGCGAGGCGGGCCGGAAAGTTTGTCCCGAGGCGGCTGCGGCCTCGAAGGGGACTCGGCCGGCAGGGGAGGGGATGCGCACCCAGCCCCAGCGCCCCCAATACGCCCACCCGCGGAGCCCAGCTCGCCATGGGTAAGTCCCATCTGGCTGCCCGGTCCCCAGACACCCCCGGGCTATGCCTGGGGCCTCTGCGGTCCCCACCACCTGGCTCCGCTCCTCCCGCGGGGCTGCAAGGCCTGGCCGCGGCCGGTCCGGGGCCTCTGACGCCTCCTTCCATCCTCCTCGTGCCTGGAAAGAGCAAGCGGCCAAGAAAGAGAACGCCTCTGGGGGCGGCGCCTGACTGACCCCAGTCCTGACCACCCCCGCTGGGGAGCCTCCCCGGGCTGGGGACAAGGAACTGGAGACTTCCACGGGAGCTTGCTGAGCCCTAAGGTGCCTGCGCTGCTCAGGACTGCAGTAGGCAGAGCACACACGCGTACACACACACACACACACACACACACACCCTGGACACGAGGGGGTGGGGCAGCCCAGTGCAAAACTGGGGGCGGTAGGAATTTCTGGACCCCTTTCCAAACTCATGGGTTCCAAGGGTCAGTCAGCCTCTCATTCTTTAGTCAGCATCCACTTTGTGCCATGTTTAGGGGTTGAGAGTTCCCAAGGAGCATCTTCTGCCTTTGAGGAGGTGGATAAAGAAGTGCGTGGGTGATGGTTTAATCACCTGCCTGGCAAGCACAGGGACCCGGGTTCGATCTCGGATACTGCATGCCTTGATGGCCTGGAACCCTGAGTGTGTCATGCAGTGGCCTACACCTGTAATCCCAGCACTGGGGAGGCTGAGACAGGAGGATCACTAGGAGTCCAAGCTGCTGAGACCCTGTACAAAATAAATACATGATTAAAGTGCATGATAAGATGCAGTGGAACACAAAACAAGGCCCCAGCAGATGGATTTGTTAGGCAGACAGGCAGGCTAGCTGGGCTTTTTGGAACCGAACCCTCACTCAGGAGCAGACCTGGCTGAGTTCTGAAGGAGGAATTTCCCAGCTGGAAGAATAACAAGGGAACAGGCCCCAAGGCAAGGAGGAGCTGCTGTGGTCCCCAGGCAGGTGTTCTGGAGTCAGTTGGAGCAAGCACCAGATCCTGCAGGGCCTTGTGGGTGAGAAGCTTGGGTCCTTTTCGAGACAATGCAGCTGGCAAATTTTAAATTGTGGGTTGGGAGATGTGACCTGAATTAGCTCTTAAAACTTCATTCAGTTCTGTGCAGAGTCAGAGCTAACACTGGCTACAGGGCTAGGCAGGCCTATGAGGTAGATATTATTATCTTGTTTGTAAGCAGAGGAAGCTCAGAGTGGTTAAGTGAGTTGCCCAAAGTCACATAGCTCTGGAGAAGAGAAGTTGACAGAACTCTAATACAATGACTCTAGACTGAATTCCCAACCAATGCACCACTCAGCCTCTCACACACAAAGGCCCAGATGGTGAACAATGCTGGTTGTGACTCTGTAGTCCGTACCTGACACCACCACACAGCACTTCCAAGCCTGAGGGAAACTGAGGTCCAAAGAAGTCAGGGTCTTTGCCAGAATATTCCGGTTGGCTCTAGCTTCCTGCTATTGCCCCTCTCATCCCCCTAAGTTAATTCAACAGCTATTGTCTAAGCAGTGGTGGCGAAACTGTGGCACACATACTGTAACAGGTTGGTTGTATCGTGGAAAGCTCTAAAATATTCACCATCACCAAAGCGTACGCTACGGGTAAAGTAAGGCTGGGTGGTGGAGGCATCCGTGTGTGCGTGCCAACAAGCATATGTGTGTGGAGGGACAAGACATCCACAGCACTTGCTGTGCCCAGAGCTCCCAGGTGGCACTCTCCATGGCAGACCAGAGAGTGGGATCTATCTGTCAGCTCCAGGATAAGGACTGGGCTCCTCTCTGCTCCCACTTAATGTGACCTGGGACATTTGTCACCTTCTCTGACCTTCATGTGGTCCCTATAAAACACACTTATCCCAGGGCATCCATGAGAATGATGTAAGAAAATGAACTTCAAGAGCCTGGCTCACAGCCTCTACTGGATAAGCGGTCAGTTAGTGTGAGATTTTATTACTAATCATGTCTGATTTGGGGACACTGAAGTCAAGCTGCATGAGTTCCAATCCCTGCTCTCTCTTACACCCTGTGCTGCCCTGATCAAATGTCTTTACATCCCTGGGCCTGATGTTTCATTTGTAGACTAGGAATAACGGTACCACCTGTGGTGTAGGGCTGACAGCAGGGAAGGGTGACTGCCAACACAGAGCCAGGTATGGATACCCAGTCACAGATATGCAGAGCTAGAGTCCCAGGGGTGGTGGAGGTGAGCTGGGGCAAAGAGGGAGAGTGTACACTTGAGGATCCAGGGCAGGGCAAGCAGGAGGACCAACAGACATAAAGGCAGAGCCTTGTGACAGTGTATAGTGTATGCCAGGAACAGAAGTGTCTCCGGAAGAGGTGTAGTGGTAATAGGCACGGGGCTGGGACCAAGTAGAAAAGTAGCTAAGGAGTTATGCCAACATATAAAGAGCTGTAGATGTCACACTAAAGAACCTGGACCTACTTGAATAGGTGGTGGGAGCCATGAAGAGCCTAAGGAGAGGCATGTCCTTCCCTAGTCTTTCTGATGGTCTTACATGTTTAGGACTGTCCTTTATAGCTCCTCAGGATGCCATAACTTCACCATACTTTGTTACTTCGTGTCAGCTTGCTTGGAGGGCTCCAAGAAGATTTTCACAGGTGAGGTCCGTAGGTTAAGGAATGCATGTGTACAAGACATCAGCAACAACAGCAGGCAGCATGGAGCAGAGCAGAGTACAAGAGCACAAGAGCAGCCTGCATCTTTATTGTATAGTTCTTACACAGGTTGTTATCACATATTTACATTCTTGTGTAGTGCTGTAACCAGCGCATGCGTGTTTACCTGTGCAAAGCCATGGTTATATTACTGTATCCTTCTGCGCACCTGTGCTAGAAAAGCAGGGTCATTTCTTCAGGTGTCCTGAGGTGTCCCTGAGCTTTAAAGCAACCTGTGTGGTTCTGCACACTCGAGGTTTCTGTGACAGTCTTTTCCCCTTCTGCCTCTGCTCTGCAACCCTGCTGTCTGCTGCCTTCTTATCTCTGGTTCAGCCTTCATGCTGGGAAGCTGTGGAGCGGAACTCTTCAGCGTATGGGTTTTGGTCCTGATCCTGTTGCTTCCTGGCTGTGAGAACATGCCAAGGCTTAGTTGCCTCACTTGTAGAGTAGGTTGAGTATGCCATCCGCTCCAGGGGGTAATAGCAGGATGGATCCAGAGCAAGCACATGGGGGCACTCCTGAAGCGAGATCTGGAGTTATTCCTATTTTGCCTCCCTCTGCTTTCCTTTCAGCCATCATGACCCCAGTGTGCACTGCTATGATTTCCATCAGAGCCTCCGGGAAGTCAGCTCAGCCTTGGCCTTTGGCTGGGCTCCCTTGTACTCCAGTGGGAACCCAGAGATGGCAAACAGTCCTGTGCTCTCACTTCAGTTACCTCATATGGCCTAGGAGGACCATCCCTTGTGGGAGTGAACCTCAAGGACCCAGGAGGCTAGGCAAGGGGTGGCAAGGACAGATGGGGGGATGTGGGCAGAGGGATGTTCCTGAGGAGGTTGGTCAGGGAATGGGACAGGGAGCAGAAAGAGGAGACAAGCCCTGCCACTGCAGGAAGATTGCCTATGAGCAGTGGAAGGCAGGATCCGAGTGAAATATGGTCCCGTCCAGACCTGGCGGGAGCAGGCAGGAGTATGCACCCTGCTCCGACTGACCTCTTTGGGTTGAGGCTCCCTGCTTACTGCCTCTGACCTAGGGTCAGGCACTTGCTTTCTCTGGCCTTCAAGATATTCTCTCCTAGGTAACACGGCAGTCCACCTAACTGAGTCATGCTTTTATGAGTAAATTAATTAAAATAAAGCACCCAATTCTTACATCACATTAGCCAACTTTCAAGAATCCACATGCAGCCAGTCATATCTGCTCAATATCTGCTCAGTTTCTATCACTGCAGAAAAATCTACTGGCTAGTGCTGTTCTTAGAAGAAGAAGAAGAAGAAAAAAACCAGAATGTAAACACTCAAATCAGGGTGTGGAACAACAACAAAAAATTGACTCATTAAATCAAGAGTGGGGGGGGCCTGGCCTTAGCTCAGTTGTTTAAGTGGCTGCTTCCACAAAGCTGTCAGCCTCAGGTTGCTGTAGTTCGATCCCCACAACACTCCAGCCAGCCAAACTACCCCTGAGGGCATTCGGAGCAAAAAAAAAAAAAAAAAATCAAGAGTGGAGAGAAAAATATCTTGACTTGTGCAAGTGCAATGAACAGAAGACACCAAAATAAATAGCATGAGCAGATTCAAGCTTATAAGTAATTGTAATAAATGTAAATACATTAATTTTTAAGGGAGAGACTATGAGTCAGAATTTGAAAGCACGTAGATCTATGCTGCTTTTTTCAGGGAGTGGTGTTGGGATTGACCCCAGGGCCTTTGTACTGAGCTAAATCCACAGCCTTTGCTCCAATTTTTTTTTTTTTTTTTTGAGACAGGGTCTTGCTGAGTGACTAAAGTGTCCAAGTAGAACTGGAACGTGCTAACCTCTTGCCTTTGCACTTGGTGTTGCATCATCTAGCCTGTTTCTCTGCCAGGTTTACCACGGCTTCCACCCCCACCATTCTGATTTCTGCTCAGATGCCCTCTCCATGGAGGCCCCTAGCTGACAACTCTATTTAAAACAATATTCCCCACTCACTGTCAATCCCCTCTTGCTGCTTTACTCTTTAATGGCACCTACTGCCATCTGAATTATGTCGTATATTTATCATCTGCCTATGCCCAGCAGAGTATCAGACCCTTGACACCTCTGTATAGTTGGCCTCAGGAATGCAGCTTGACCTGTAGCAGGTGCCAGATAAATAAGTCTGGATGGATGATTGGATGGTTGGGCAGATGGGAATGTGGAGGAGTGTACAAAGGATGGGATACAAGGAGAGGTGGCTTTGTGGATAGATGGATTCATAAATCAATGGGAGGCTGAATAAATCAAAGGGTAGATAAAGTGGAGAGAGAGATGGATGAGTATGTGGATGAATGCATGCATGGATGGATGGATGGATGGATGGATGGATGGATGGATGGATGGACGGATGGGTGGATGGATGGATTGATGATGGGTAGATATATAGATGGACAGATGAGAGGAAGGAAGCAAGCAAGCAAGGGTAAATGAATGGATGCTTCATTGAACAGTAGATGGTTGGATAGAGGATGTGACAGATGGCAGAATTGTGGGATGCATACTCTTGTAAGAAGCCATGCTGACACCATGCTGTCATTTTCATTTTCCAGGCTGTCCTCCACCTGTCCTGCCCCTGTGTGCCTCTGTGTCTTTGCTAGGTGGCCTGACCTTTGGCTATGAACTAGCAGTGATATCGGGTGCCCTTTTGCCACTGCAGCTTGACTTTGGACTGAGCTGCTCACAGCAGGAACTGCTGGTGGGAAGCCTGCTCCTGGGGGGGCTCCTTGCTTCTCTGGGGGGTGGCTTCCTCATTGACCACTATGGCAGGAAGCGCACCATCCTGGGGAGCAACCTGGTGCTGCTGGCAGGCAGCCTGAGCCTGGGCCTGGCTGGCTCCCTGCCCTGGCTGGTCCTGGGCCGCCTGGCAGTCGGCCTTGCCATCTCACTGTCCTCCATGGCTTGCTGCATCTACGTGTCAGAGCTGGTGGGACCACGACAGCGGGGAGTACTGGTGTCCCTCTACGAAGCAGGCATCACCATGGGCATCCTGCTGTCATATGCCCTCAACTACGCCCTGGCCAGTGCGCCCCAGGGGTGGAGACACATGTTCGGCTGGGCTGCCGCACCCGCTCTCCTGCAGTCTCTCAGCCTTCTCTTCCTCCCAGCTCATGCAGAGGAGACTGCAATGTATAAGGACCTCATCCCGCTCCAGGGAGGTGAGGCCACTATGCCCGGCATGGGGAGGCCACGCTATACATTTCTGGACCTCTTCAGGGCCCGGGATAACATGCGAGGCCGGACCACAGTAGGGCTGGGGTTGGTGCTTTTCCAGCAGCTAACAGGGCAGCCCAATGTTCTGTGCTACGCTTCCACCATCTTCCACTCTGTCGGCTTTCATGGAGGTTCCTCCGCTGTGCTGGCCTCCGTGGGGCTCGGCATGGTAAAGGTGGCAGCTACTCTGAGTGCCATGGGGCTGGTGGACCGTGCTGGCCGCAGGGTGCTGCTGCTGGCTGGCTGCAGCCTCATGGCCCTGACAGTCAGCGGCATAGGCCTTGTCAGCTTTGTAGTGCCCATGGACTCTGGCCCCAGCTGCCTGGCCATGCCCAATGCCACCCAAAAGACAGGCTTTCCTGGAGGCTCTGGCCTGCTAAACGAACCATCGCTACCTCCTATGCCGAGAAGCAGGGGGCGCCAATGGGAGCCAGTCTTTACAACTGCTCAGAAAACCAAGTTCCATCCCGGAGCTGCTGTAGCTACTCCCCTGCCAGCCCTGAGCACCACCTCCCTGGTGTCCTCTGACCCTAGCCCAGAACACACACTGCTGCGCTGGACAGCACTAATCTGCCTGATGACCTTTGTGAGTGCCTTCTCCTTTGGCTTTGGACCCGGTAAGTGGAATTTCTTTTATGTTTT